TGTCATTTGAACCGCTTATGTTGGCCAGTAAGTAAGATATTTTAATTAAATGAAATGAAAAGTTTTCTTAAAAGTTATGTGGTTTGACGCTAAATATGAAAAAAAACTGACTGGTCTAGATCTTTATAAAAATATCATATTCTATGCCCAATATATTAAATTTAGCCCCTTTGGTTTGAGGTTATATCACATTACAAGTATATATGTACATAAGTATATTGAGTTTATGTCTAACTCCAAAAATATTATATGAACTTTTTAATTTGGCTGGCATACGATTACAAGCTTGCTATATATGCACGTACATATGTATATGTATGGTATATGCCGTAAAAAATAGTGCAACCATGAGAAATAAGGAATCAAGTAGATACATATATCTCATTTCCTATATTGATAGCCCATTTAGACAAATGCAATAATTTTTCTTTAATTTATGCTCATTAAGCTTATGACTACTTAAATCATAGTAATAATCCACTAATTTTTGAATACATATATACGCTTATGGTATAACATAGTATAACACACCCAATCGATACATGATCAGTTATCGCACCGTGGCATGCAAGCTGCGCACTGTGATATCAACAGTTTATGCCAGCGATTTGCGGCTGTTGCCTGTGGTTGGTGTAGTTTTCGAGTTGAAAACATACCAAGCAGCTCATAACAAAGCGCTCACGTGCGCCTATTTACCTTTGACCAAGCCATATACATATATTCGAACGTTTTATATGTATGTATAAGTATATGGGCGTGTGAGTGTGCGTGGGGCAATTTGAGCAGCGCGGCCACACGTATGTCTCCCATGCCACTCAGCAGGCAGCCAAGCGTTACGGACAATCAATAAATTTTAACACGTGATCAGAGCAATAAACGATCTGTAATGACGGCGGCAAGGCGACGCGACGGCTAAAGCCGATGGTGATCAGGCGTACAAAGATAACGGCAAGACGGACGAGACGATGATTACGATGACGACAACATCAACAGCGGCAACAGCAACGACGGCTTGAAAGCACGCGTACTCACTTTTAGCTTGTGCGCCGACAGCTTGAAGATTTAAGGCTATCGGAAGATGATTGGCGCTGAATGGAAGCGGGGTGGTTTTCTCTAGTTATTCGACTAATAAGTACAGCAGTAATCGTTAAGAATTAGCAACAATGAGAAGCTGCTTGAGAATAAAGCGGAACGACTAACTAGCAGGAAATTGTATTTGTTTGGCGAGGTGGTGAGTATGTATCGAGGTTATGACAAGTTTCGAGAAAACACGCGAACACCGAGAACATTTAGAGCGATATAATCTGGAACAATGCGAGAGTGTGTACTCAACCATTTGTTACCATGTTATATTGAATATTCATTTATTTGAATTCTGTTTTTTATGCAGATAATTCTATGCCATTTATGATTTAAACAAAATGTCGGCCAAATAGTCACCATGACTCCGTTTGCATTTCTCCGCCCATTTACGCCAATTTTCGGTGACCCGATACAGCATTTCGGCTATAGTGCGTTGAATGTTGTCTTCGAGCTCCTCGAGCGTTGCTGGTTGATTGCCGTAAACTTTTGATTTAACATATCCTCCGAGAAAATAATCTATTGTCTTGATATTGGCACAGTTCTAAATACATCCACCTGACTGACTGGTTTTCTGTGGTTTGTAGGCATTCTTGACCTTCTCCGTATATCGTGAATACCATCTGATACAGCGATATTAAGTTAGATTCATTCGAGAAAATTACGGTCTGCCACTGTTCCACCGACCAACTTACATGCTCTTTGGCCTATACATACTGCTGTTTCCTCATTTGTTGGCTCAAAAATTATTTGTTTTCCAGAACGTTGGCGCGGAATCCCCTCTGAACCTATGGCAAACTTTTGATGTATCCATTATCACTCGTGTTGCATCGCTAGGTAGGTAGGTAGAGTGACTGTCTGTTGCATCATTGTGATTCTACCGGAACTAATGTTCCCTCACTCTATTGTCTCCTCTCTGAACTACCTCGTGCTTCTGATAAAGCTCATCAATGCAAAAAGTTTTATTTGTGCAGCCTCTAAAACGTCATCAAGAAACTATCGATCGATAGTTGCGATTATTTTCCTGTATAGAGCTTTGCATTCGCATAGAAGATATAGCATCACTAAAGTCTCTTTTAATGTCTGACGATAATTTTAAGCGATCAGTAGACAATACCTATGTTGAGCGACTATCGAGTTTCGGACCCTTTCACACCCTTTTTTCAGGGCAATAGAACCTGTCTCCCGAAATTTTTTGATAAAATTTGCTTTAATATCGTCGTATGTTTTTTATAATACAGTACTTTCACAAACTTTTAAACACAATTGATGTTTTAGTGATGCAAATAAACTCTTTCTAGCACTTACTCAAACTAAAGCCAGTGATACCATCTGTATGATTTGTATGCCAAGTACTGTATAAGGTATTAAATACACGTTTTCGTGAAGATACCTCGTCAAATGAAAGAGTTTTACATACAAGCACTTGATTCCGATTGTTCAGTTTGTATGGCAGCTATATGCTATAGTCATCCGATCTATACAATTTCTTTGGCGATTAAATTAATGGCTTAAATAATAATACACGTCAAATTTGATGAAGATACCTCGTCAAATGAAAGAGTTTTCCATACAAACACTTGATTCCGATTGTTCAGTTTGTATGACAGCTATATGCTATACATCCGATCTATACAATTTCTTCGGAGATTGAATAAATGTCTTAAATAATAATATGTGCCAAACTTCGTGAGGATACCTCGTCAAATGAAAGAGTTTTCCATACAAGCACTTCATAGCGATTGTTCAGTTTGTATGGCAGCTACATATGTGCTATAGTAGTCCGATCTCAATAATTTCTTTCGAGATTACATTGTTGCCTTAAATAATAATAAATGCCAAATTTCGGGAAGATACCTCGTCAAATGAAAGAGTTTTCCATACAAACTCTTGATTCCAATAGTTCAGTTTGTATGGCAGCTATATTTTAGATCGATAGCTTAAAAACTGGGGAACTAGTTTGTATATATACAGACAGACGGACATGGCTAAATCAACTCAACTATAAATTTTATAGGATGTCAGACGTTTCCTTCTGGGTGTTATAAGCTTCGTGGCAAATTTAATATACCCTGTTCAGGGTACAAAAATAAGCAAGCGGAAAAAGAAAACACAGTATGTAGATGACAGAGTGGTACGGGAAGCGTCAAAAATTCACAATTTTCGCTTATTTTTATATGCGTCCCTTTTCGCCTGCCACAGAGCTGGTTCATTTTATAAATTCAAGCAAAAATTGCTTGGACAGCGTGACAGGTGCAAAATTTCAGATCGATAACATAAAAACTGAAGGACTAGTTTGTATATATACAGACAGACGGACAGACGGACAGACAGACAGACAAACAGACGGACATGGTTAGATCAACTCAGCTCATCAGGCTGATCATTTATGTATATATTTTATAGGGTCTCTGATGTTTCCTTCTGGGTGTTACAAACTTCGTAGCAAACTTAATATACCCTGTTCAGGGTATAAAAATTAAAAAGGATTAAAATGCCTCATACACTCAGTATGTACTACATTTAATTGGCTTAGTTTTTTTAAATCTGTTACAGTGCGAGACTAGCCAAAAATATATCGCTTAGAAAAAAATAGTGATATCAAAAATTTGAGTGAAGTAGAATAGCGTTTTACCAACTAATTAATTCTGTGGATTGTGTTAACTAGAAATCATTACATTTTTTTTATAATTCTGGAGTGTATCATTAGTCTGATGGTGAATTAAATATACAAGTATGTATGTATGCGTATAAACACAATCAATCATTAAAATTGTCCCATAAAAAAAGGAAGAGCAATAGCGATTCTGCTATTAATCAGATATTAAGTTACGTCAAGCCCTATGACTGAACAACCAGACGGGGATCACACTTGGGCATCTTAAAACTATGTAATCTAGGGATTGCTAATTGGCCACCTAGGTCATGCGATTTGACTTCTTTAGCATACTTTTTTGTGAGGATACGTCAAATCAATGTTCTACGCAGATAAGCTTAGACTGACCAGTTGAAACTGAAGCATGGAGAGTGATAGCAGAATCCTTAAAGTCTATGCAAAAAGAACTAGCCACGGTTAGTGGTTGTTTTTATTTCGTGGTGGCAAACTCCTGCCAATATAAAATTCTTCAAATGCTATGGCCCATTATGGACTTAGTGCCATCCAGAATCAGCTAAACTTAAATAAATCAGACTATATCCTCCTGAGGTTAGATTTCAATAGTCACTTTCGGTGAATGTTCCTCTTTAGACGTGAATGGTGAGGAGGTTTAGTAGGGGAAGAGGATAAAACCTCTATCTATACTGACGAGTATTCAATGAACTGGGGAGTAGGGGCGGGAGTATACTCCAATGATTGGCATCTTTCTCTCTATCAGTCTACGAAACTTAGGGGAGATACAGAAAGCTGGCGAGGCAGCTTTGCTAGCCTTGTCGTCACCAAAATTTAATTTCAGTGAAGTCAACAAAGAGAGGAAGGCTTTAATCTCACTGGTAGGTCAGCGGTCACACCAACAAATACATGATAACGAAGCAGATATTGCCCAAATGTGACAAGACTAGAAGTAAGGGCTTATTAAATAGGCTGAGGGATAGTATATATAGACTTACAGCTACTATAACGGGACACTGATCTCTTGGAGCGCTAAAGATGGGGATAAGGAAACAGTTCAACACTTTCTCTGTGACAAACCCGACGCAGAATACTTGGAACCCATCAGTCACCAAATTTTGAATGTCTACAAAAAGCATAACGGATATAAGTAGTTTCATTGAGAGCACCAAATTGTTTGAGGTAGAGGTCTTACGATAGTGCAACAAAATAGCATCCAGCGCTAACCCAGGGTTGCTGCACTCCTACTTACCTATCGCGCTTTCATCAATAGGTATACCCAGATAGATTTATTCATATAAAACTTGTTCAATTGATTGAATAATACAGTATTTAGAACTATTTTATTTACTCGACGTTCATTTGCGATGCAAAATCTATTATTACAGTTTCTATATGTGATAAACATTTCTTCGGCGAGGCTCTTATTAAGACATTATTTATATTAGTGTCGCTCGGCTGAGGAAACTTTCATTCATAAACGAGTGTATCTGAGTTTGACGTCTATAGTCCGGGCCATATCGAAGGGGTAATTCTCGACGCAAGCAGGTTAATATTTGTTCAAATTTGAAATTCGTAGATTTCCAGTTACAAGTGCATGGTGGCATATGCTCGCTCCAATATTTATTATGACAAACATAATTAACATCTGGAGAACGTGTGGACTTAAGTAATGTGAATACTGTGGGCGGCTGGAAATGTGCTTTCTTGTGATGACAAAAGCATGGCGGCATACAAGTGCATATAATTGCTGCTTTCCTTGGTGGGAAATGCTTTGTTGTCCTTTTTGCCGCCTTGCATTCATAGAGTCGGTAGTGTGGTGTACCGCCAATGATCTCGGGTCTTACGGATTCATGAGTATGCGCTAACCAACGTTCCAGTGTTTCCCAATGTGAGAGATATGGTTTACTCTCACGTAGCAATTGCATGCAACGCCATAGTTCGGTGCGTTTAGTTATATTGTAAGAGTGGCCGGTGTTTTTGCGAAAGAGTTTGTATAACTCGTAGTAGTATTGTGACGGTAAAGAGATGCTGCGCATAAATTTCGTCATCTCAAAGTGGAATAGTTGTCGAATGCCGTAAGCTATATGCTTGATATCGTTGAAGTTTTTTATATTCATTGATGCGAGAGCGTTCGCATCAATCAGCAATAGTTTACGTCCCGTAATGAGGTTGACACGAAAGGTGTTCTGAAATGGATGTAAAAGTTTTTTATTCTCACATCTAATTGGGTGTCTCTGAATCTCCTCTGAGGTTGGTCTAAAGATTTTGAGATACACGATATGAGCAGCTTAAATGTATACATTTCCTAGGGTGGATTTATCATATGAAAGCTAAAAATTTAGTGTAGTAGTATATAGATTAGACCACGTGTGGTTCTTAGATCTCAAAAACTTTTGAGCATATTGGCAAATGCGAGCTAATGTGAAAGTGTCTGTGGTTGACGTCTAGGCAAAGAACACATGATGAAGCTTGTTGGTCTCTCTATTTTTAAAGATTTGTCTGTTGTACATATTTTTGGGTAAAATAATATAAGTTTATTGCGCGGTCTCATTCATATCAATATGTTAGTGAACTATTATGATGAAATCTAAAATATAGCTCAATGCTTCAAAAATAAAAGTAATAACACTTTTATGGCCGCCTAACTGACAAAAAATTTTCAAAACGTATAAATATAATATAATAGCCAATGCACATAGAACGTTTGATTTGCTTTGCGTCACACATTTGTTTAGACATAAAAGTTCGATGTACGCTTTTGTAGTAGTACGTTCACATAAAAATTTTTCGACGCGAAACCAAGCAAAATGTTGGGCAACTCTTATCTTTTTACGCTTTACCAAGCAACCGTCGCCACTTTTATTAGAGAAAAAAACTGTAAGCAAAGCGTTCAATGTGGCATAATGTTTGTTTTCTGCGCTTCGTTCTTTCAGTATGAACTGTCACGTAAAGCGAGAAAAGTTGTATTTAAATAGGAATTAAGTTATTAAGAGCTACAACACAAGTTTGAGATGCAAGCGTAGCCATAAATAGTGAATCACATAGTGAGTAAGAGTGATAATAGCCAAACAGTCAGAAGCAATAGTACACAAAGACAATCTTAAATAATATTACAGACCTGATAATGCCGATAGCCATATTTCCTTATCCACCTACAGACATCCTCAGTTGTCCACTCATACACCGACGGTAATGGCAATTTATCTACCAAATTCGATGTTAGATTGAGCAAAGTATCGGGCGAAACTCGAAAAACGATAGGTAATGAGTCTTTGTTGAAAGTTTGGCCCTCCATTCTAAGAAATGGTATATCGCCATATTCATAGTTTTCTAGTTTGGAGTGCACAGGTATCCTATCGATTAGATTCTCCTTCGAATGCACGAATTTTTCATCGGAAGCTCCATATAATACCCGCATTATTTTAAGTAAATCTTTTATTTGGAGCACTTATGTAAAAATATACAAAATAAAAACTTATGCACATGTATTTATGTTGTTATTATATGACAGTATGTACTGAATGAAGGAAAAATCCAAAAGTAAAAAACAACAATTCTATATGTCAAGTTTCACCAAGTTACAAAGGGACTTACGAAAGCATGTAAATGTTTTAAAAAGTAGTATTTTGTAGTTATAATATATATAATATATTGTAGTTAAATAGAAATAAAATAAATGTATTACGTAGTTAATCAGATATTTGTGTTGATTTTATATGTTATTTGAGGTACATACCTATATGGGGGCTTAAGAATATTTGGAGCCGATTTTAATCAGTTTTGGTATTAGGACATATCATTACCAGAAATAAAGGCTATCTAAATTTCATTGAGAAACCTTAGAGATTGACCAATATATTTAAGTTTTAAAGTCTAGCGTTTGTTTGAATATCCGTATATAAGGTATATAGGGATAAGTAGAGTATTGCTCTGATTTCATTCATTGTAGGCAAAAGGGCTCACTCATATTAGAAAGAGATTCTTTCTGAATTTTATTAAGATTCCTTACATATTGGCTCGATAAAAAATCAGCCATATGCACTAGTGCTTATTTATGGCACTTTATGGGGTGTTTGATGGCGTTTTGTGGAGGCGACAGTAGTCCGATTACGCCTATCTGCAATATCGACGTCTATTGGATGCCAAGGAATTCATAGAGATATCTCAATTTTTACTGCAGTTATCGCTTGCTTAGGCAGATGGACGGACACAGAGTCATCCGGATTTCAACTTGTCTCATCAACATGATTATTCATATATGTATGCATATTAGGGTGGAACGAAAAAAAACATTTTTGGTTTTTTCTTAGCCTGAGGGTAAAATTTGTATACTATAAAAAAAGAAAATTTTTGTTAAATTTATATGGTTTTAAGATTACAAAATGCTTATCCTATGATATTCATTTCAGATGTGTAAATTTATACACACAAGTATGTATGTATTATAGTCACTATTTTAGTGAGACCTGAACAATGATTATTAATATTTTTTTTTTTTTTTTTACAGAAGTTCGAAAGGTTTTACTCGCTTTAATCTTCTGGTAAGGCCATCGTTATTAAGGAGCTGGAGAGCCTCAATGTTGATATGTTGTTGAAGTTGTTGTTCATGACATTGAGCATACTTTTTGATGACGTTGAATACCATAAGTCTAGATCGGTTTAAGGACTTGTTGATACAAGAGTAGCTTGTTGTATACTGACAAGGCAGAATATCTGCTTAATAGCCAGTACATTTTTCTGTACTTAAGTATTAATTCTTCTTGTTTTTTTTGACATGTAATTTCCACCTAAGTTTAGTATCAATTGTCATACCAAGATATTTTGCTGTATTCTCATACGGAACTATTTTTTGGTTCATAAATATTGGTTTGTGCTGTATACGTTTATTGGGGAAATCGATATGCACCGATTGATTTTATTCAGCTTAATGCGCCAAGTAATTGTCCAGCGTTGTACTTCTGCTTTGGCTTTTTGTAATTTTTCTGTTGACTCAATATTATTGTCGTAAAATTGCAGTATCATCAGCAAATGTAGCAACAATATTTTCGTTAAATGTTGGTAGGTCACTAGTATATAAGAGATAAAGAACTGGTCCCAATACACTACCTTGCGGAACTCCCGCTTGGATTTTTTTTTAGAACAGAAAAAGCGTATTATAGAGCATAGACTCATTTAGTTTAATTACTACATCTTGTTATTTCGAACTAAATTCTATACAGTTTATTAGCACAAATGAGATATATGTGATGTGGTATGTCAACCAAAAGGGCTAAATGTTATATTTATATGGGGTACTTAAAAACATTACCAGGGGAAGGAAATTCAGCATATTAGGGATATGCGGTTTAGACCAAGGTAAAATGAATGAAAGTATTTTGGAGATAGGCGAAGATCTGGACTCTTTGCAATAACGTTTGGCTTTACTCAAGTATACTCGAAAACATGTTTTTATTTTAGGAAGAAAATCACACAATGACCGAATGTTTCAAAATATTTATATTAGGTATATGGCGGCTAGGGGAAGTATGTAACCGATTTCACCAATTTTCGACACAAAAAGCTCAAATAAATAAATATATGGTATAAAGTCAACCGAAATTTTGAAAATCTTTCTGTTAAGTAAACGGGGATTATCCAACTCCCGGAAACCAATGACCCGAGTTTAACCATTTTTAGCACCAGTACAAATAAAGACGTCCTCTACGTTTCATTGTTTATCTTAGAGTTTGACCGTCAACACCTAAAGGTATTTCCCCGGATTTGATCCGAGATTTGATAGAGTACAAAATGTTCCGTTTCACTCGAACTTGGCCCTTACTTACTTGTTGAAATAACGCCTCCATGTGATATATAATATGTTGTAAATATCATCATTAATAAATCTTTTCATTAACCAGTAGTAATGCTTTATCATAGTAACATTCCATCGGCCTAGGTACCTTGTTTTCAAAATTTTTATGGTTTAATAATTTTGATTAATTTTTATTGGTTTAATGTTTTTCAAAATAATCGTCACGATTATCAAGAAAAAATCCTCATGTGAATCGCAAAAGTTAAGTTTTATACTTATACAAGTATTACCTCCCATTTTTTTATGTTTCTTCAAAAGTTTGCAACAATTTTGTATGTACTGTTATGGTTTTGTGTATGGATTTTCTAAGAAATTACTTACAACATTTTTCAACGTCAGCAAAGCTTTTCATTCAGTAATATTGTATTATATATATATTGTTGCGTCAAAATTGTCATCGGTCATCAGAGATCTAATTTGTGTGCGATAATAATCTTGACAATTTAAATGGACAGAAGAATCGATAGGAACAGAAGCATACTGACTAGAATTGCGCAATACAAGTAGAACACGTTTCAATCTACGTTGCGCCGAATCTAGAAAAATCGCCATATTTTCAATAAGACCAGGAATATTCGTACTATAAACTGAAGACTCTTCCTAATAAAAGAAAGCTATAGCAAGCAAAATGTGCATCAGGAGCAAATAGTTGTTTCGCATAAAGTCTAGACCCAAGAAGTTGTGAAAATTCTCTTGAAAGACCTACAATTTCTGTGGCTAAATCAAAATAGGTGTACAAACTTTCGTTGACCTTTGGGGTTGCAATTTTTACATTGACGATATTCAACTCAGATCAGATATTGAATTTAATTTACACTACATTTAATTTAACTATTACTTTTAGTGATAAACGCTCATTTCAGTTGACGTTTGCTGTAATGCTATTATTTAAGATTAAGGCGTCTTATTTATTGCAATCTGGTGCATTTGGAGCAGGTACATGCCTTGTGCTCCATTGTTTGAACTTGTTAATTGAGTTTATTCTCCAATGAATACTAAATTCTGCAAATTTCTATAGGTATACAGATTTATTAATCTACATTTATATACCAAGAGGGTACATAATTGGCCCTTACCCCTTAGTTAAATATTTGGCCGAGCTGCTCATATAATATTGGAAATTGCATGTTCATATCTAGTAAAAGCCAGACTCGCAAATCTGCTAGCGTACTTAAATACTTACACGTACTTTTTACTTTACTTTTTATAAGTAAATGATGACAACAAGCTCAGGCTATTTGTGAAATTAGGCAATTTGCGGTTCTTATATACCTTCATGTTGCCAATTGGGTGCCATTTCTCTTGAAATCTCAATTACTGTCCACTATATTATCCAAAATTATTTTCATCTCATGCACTCTCATTTAAATATTTGCATTCAGCTTTTAAATAGCTATCTTGAAAAATCTACATCGGGTCTGTATTCTCATAGTATCAAATAACTAAACATAGAAACATCTTTATTAAATTATGAGCCGAAACTTCCCCTCCTATTTTAGCGTGCGCTTTAGTAGTATACAAATGGAAAACATATAAGTTATAAACCTATTTCGAACAGCTGGAAAGATTTGTGAGAAGTCTTTACAACACAAAAATATCTTTAGAAGTATTACGACCGCTCCAACACTCTAGTAGTACATGCAGACATTTGTATTTAGATCAATCCTAAGGGCTGATATTATTATGGTAAACACAATTGCATTGTGTTGCATATAGCCACAAAGTGGACAATTAAGGTATATCAAGCGGCCCTGCAGGAAAATGTAAACATGCAATAATATGTAAGGAAGAACTAAGTTCGGGTGTTACCGAACATTTTATACTTTTGCAACGTGCAATGCGCAAAGTAGGGAAAATACCTTGTGGTTTTGGCAAAACCTCATATTAAAAAATTTTGCGAAAGAACTTAACATTCATTATTCGACGAAGTCGTGAATGAATTACGATCAAATTTGGTATTTTATTAAGTTATCGAAAATTAAATTAAAATCATCCTTAAATTAAATATACTTAGCATAAATTTAACCGGAGAGGCTAAATGTGACAAGGTCTATACCAACTCCATTCATGTTCATCGCTAAACCCTTAACATAAAAAGTTTTGTTAGAATAACGAAAATTATTATATGTAGTATAATATAATTTTACATGCTTTCGGCATTAAATTAAGTATACATATCAATCAATATGCTAATTTTATTATGTCGAAAACTTCTAAAATGCCATAGCTAATCACTTAATTAAGATATATTCCGCTTATTTGGTACAGGCGATAGCAGAAGCAAGGCGCAACTGTGAATCCAAAGAGGGTTATATGTACATTAAACCTCCTAAACCACTTAAGCTACAATATCCAAAATCGCTTAGGACAAATCCTATAATAACCCTTATCGACAGTGTTGAAATGGATGAAATCAGATTATAACCCCGACCTCTCGAAAGTAAATATAGGTTGTATTTGGGAGTTGGGTTAATTCGTAGATTCTTAAACGCTCATATCAGGTGAAGTTTGCTGTAATGCTATAGCTAACATATTAGGCGATATATGTGGAATGAGATAAGTCGCAAGTTCGAAAATATGATACATCGATAAGGTATATGGGGCTAAGGGAAGTATTGACTCGATTCAATGCATTTTTTACATACACACATACTATTATCAGAAAGAGAATCTCTCCAGTATTTCGGTAAAAAATTAGCACCAGGTACAGGTTTTTAGACTCGCGATGGTATACCCCAATGTCACTATTTGTGCAAAGTTTTGTCCCGATATATGCTTTGGTGCTAGATTTGTATACTGGAAAGTGAAAGATTCATATGGAATTTAAAATTGTAGTATATGGAAAGTAGGCGTGGTTGTAGTCCGATTTGGCTCATTTTCCTACCGTAGTTTAGAATATATGTATATCATTCATCATAGTGTGTTCAACAATAATAGCTTTATAGGTATGGGCTAGTATTAGAAGTCTTCACAGTGTAGCACATGTTGAAATGCAACCATTAAGTTTCTCTGAGATAGCTATAGCATTTTATGAGTGTCCAATAGCTTTATAATTTAAATACACTGAAATTTAAATAATGTTTTTTGTTTCTAACTATCGCATTTGTTGCAGGGTCTTCTGCGCACTTATCTCTGAATGTTACAATTGTGTGAACATAACAATGCCGCTGCACGCTGAGGTACATATTATCAATAACAAATAGATATATGACTATTGTTTCAATGGATGCACAATTTGGCTCATTTAGGAACGAATACACAATACATATTGATCGGGTAGTCACTGAAAGGTGCGTACAAGATGTCATTATTGCCTTAGAATATTTCAACAGAGTTAATATTAAATACTTAACTTTTAATTCCACGAACTTATGAATTGCAGTTTGTGTCATCTAAAGGGATTGTAACCAACCAAGAAGAAGGACTTCAGAATGCGTTTCCTGAAATCTGTAACCTTTTGAACCTTTACCGATGATTTTTCAGAAGGCAATGCTATAACCCTTTGGCAGCTATATGCTGTAGTGGTCAAATACAAAAGTTTTCCCTACAACAACTCGATTTCGATCGTTCAGTTTGTGTAGCAGCTTTTTGCTATAGTTGTCCGATATTTCCCCCTGCGGGTAGGGGTAAGAACTTACCCGCGGTAAGGCATGCCTGTCGTAAAAGGCGACTAAAAGCGAAATGCACTATGACTGTTATTATGTACCTTGCTCAGTAATATCAGCATAGTATGTCAGAAATAGTGCTATAATACTCAGCTTGAACTGATATTACAGACTTTAAATGAAAAAGCAAATAAAAAGGCATTTGAAGTTCAAGCGACAAATGTCACCAGTCATTGAGTAATGGGTTGCTCAACTGGCAGTAGTTTCGGCTACGCAGTCTTTTAAATAGCTCGTATTGTTTGGGGCGCTTATCAACGCATTGTATTGATACGTTGTGTTTTGGAACACCGTGAGGTAAGGCCGTCGCCGGCAGGTACTCACGTAAATCAACAACGACAGTTGTCCGATATTGGCGATTCCGACAAACGAACAGGTTCTTCGGGAGAAACCCACGTTTGCAAATATTCAGATAGATATTTCAAAAACTGAGGGACTAGTTTGTGTATACAGACAGACAGACGGACATGGCTACATCGACTCAGATTATCATGCTGATCATTTATATATGTATATATTTTTTAGGGTCTCCGACTTTCCCTTAGAGGTGTGGCAAAAATTAATATACCCTGATCAGGGTATAAATATGTAGCGATGGCTACATATCTCAATGTAGTTTGGCGAATCGTATTATAATGATAACTTTTGCTAGCCGCATCATCCAAATTTCGAAATTATTTAACGAGACACACCATCTGGCTGTTCTAACGCGTTAGAAAGGCAAATAAGGAAGAATTCGGCTACATCTCGTATTCTGAATGGTTTAAAATAACTAAATAAATAATTTTCTTCTAAAGTGAAAATAGTACTGATTTCTTTGTTAAACCAAAATTACTGCCAACGCAGAGCTTTCTGTTTTAGAAACCAAGCTTGTATCGCATATATGTATGCACCATATATTCCATGAACTCTTCACCAACATTGAAACTACATCATAGAGAGCAGGTAGTTTTACCTCAAACACTTAAATTAAGTAGAAACCTCAACTGTAATAATCATCATCATCATTTTCTGTATCTGCCACTGGAGCATAGGGACTCAATAAAGCATTTTCATTTGCTAATGTTTTTTGCTATCATCTTTATTTCACTCCACAATTGTCTGCATTCATCGATTTCTTTTTGTAAGCATCTTCTTCACGTGGTCTTGGGGCGACCTCTCTTACGACTTCCTTGGGCGTTCCGATCCAGAGCTTGTCGTTGCTGGTGACGTTTGGCCTCCACACCTTGAAGATACGCCGTAGGCATCTGTTAACAAAGCTCCGAATCTTTTCAGTAAGGTGGTCGGTTATAAACCAAGTTTCACATCCGTAAAGCAGTACAGAGACAACGTTGGACCTAAATAGTCTAATTTTGGTTGGGAGGTTATTTGCGTCGAATTCCAGATTTTACCTAACTGTGTATATGCGTCTTTTGGTCAATATATTTTGGCCACAATATCCTTCCCTGCATTGTTTTTCGCAGATATTATACTGCCTAGGTAGTTAAAGTCTCCAACATGATCAATTTCTTTATCTTGCAGTATAAAATGATCGTTGCTTTTCGTGTTTATTTTAATTGATTTCGTTCATTAACTCAACTATGATACGCAGGGTGTTAATCTGCTCAACGCATGAACGATTCGGGCGAAATCCGACTTATTGCTTTCTCAGAGATTAATCAAGTTTTGCTTTAATGCGATTTAAAAGTATACTGGACAGTACAATAGAACGACCAGGCTACCCTGCAACCAGTCCTCGGGGATCTTCTCTTCTATCAAGGATAACAAAAGCTGCCCAAATAACTTCTTTCAATTTATACATATCGCGTCCAAGGCATACAAGTAATAGATTTTAAAAATAGCTTAAAAAATCTTAAATATTTCCATCAAATTAATAATTCATCAAAAATACGTTATAATATGTACATATGCAGTGTATTTATATTTAGTTACCCATTTCACGCTTAATTATGTATGTAAATTAAATCAATTCAGTGTACCAAACAATTCTTTATCTCTCGTCTCCCGTGACATCCAGTGTTCGAGTATATCCCAGTGGCAGAGATATTTTGATTTTTCCCGCAGCATTTTTATTTGACACCAGAGATCGGACCGTTTTAAATACGCATAACCACTCTTCGTCTGAAAGAGTTTGTAGAGCTCGTAAAGATGATGTGGAGGCAATGATATACTTCGCATAAAATTAGTCATTTCGAAGTAGAAGAGTTGACGTATGCCTTCTGCTAATCGCTTGATATCGCTGAAATTTTTTATGTTCATGGCGCATAACGCATTGGCGTTGATCAACAGAAGCTTCCGTCCTGTGATTAAGTTTGTACGGAAAGTGTGCTAAAATTTGCGAAATACATACATGAGTATATAAGCATTTTCTGTATAATATAAAAATATATGTATATAATATATGTTAAATAGATAATATACTTGTATGTATGTTTAAATTTCAATTCAACAGATCGTATGTAACATGTACTCGTACTCGTCGTAGTAGTTGGTAGCGTTTCCTATTAATGGTTTCACATGGTATTAGAATCTCATAATACAGTACGCCGTTTTTATTCCAAGAAATACAGAGCATTACCTTGGCGTCATGAATATTCGGCTTTGCCGTTGATTTGGCAGATTGGCCAGCTTACACACATAAGCTTTTGAATATATTCGGCTGCTTGAGTAACCCCCAAAGATTCTGCGGGCTTTTCTTGTGTTTGGCAACTCTCTTTATTGATTGATACTTTCAGTTCCTCAACTACAAACTTTTTTGGCTGCCCAGGGCGTTCTACTTCTTCCGTACGACCAAATCACCAGTTTTAAATCCCTTGGCAAACCATATGAATATACTATACCATACTACCATACAAACAACCGTTGCACTCTGAGCAACATGTTGTTAGAGTTTAGAGTTAAACATTTTAATATTTTCTTAGAACTATTTCACTAAACATTATTCATATCTAGTAGACATTTCATAGCATTTATATTGTAAGTAAATAATTTTGTAAGCATTGCTCAACATTAAACGCAACATATAAATTAATATTTGCAAAATTGTGTGTGTGAACGGGTCAAATTAAATTTTGCTCACCTCATATTGTTGATAACCTAAGCGTTTTAACCAATTACAAACGTCCCTATCGGTCCATTGATAAACGTCTGGTAATGTCAAGGCATCTACAACTTTGGCGGCTAGGTGTAATAAACTCTCCGGCGAGACTTTGAATTCAATGGGTAAATCCATTTTATCGTATTTTTTCACGCTTTGCACAGTCAAATGAGTTTCGAATTTAAAAGGTTTACTTTCTACATTCGATATTGGCGAAAACTTGAGCAAATGTTTATTTCCGCGATTAAACTTTGGACTATAGTGGGAGTAAGGCATGTCGACGCCGTTAAACAAGTACTAACGCTTCTGTTTTGCAAATGAAACGAATATGCGGTCACAAGTACAGCCAAGTAAAAATATTCGTGTGTGATATATGTAATTATTTTGTATGCGACTAATAATAAAAACAAGAAAAAAGTGTTAACTTAGGTTGCCCCGAAGCTATACTTAATACTCCTCATATACAAAAAGTTTTCATACTAGAACTTGATTTTGATCAGTCAGTTTGCATGTCAGCTATATGCTATAGTAGTTCGATCTAAACAATTGGAAAATAATTCATGCCAAATTTTGTGAAGAGATCTTGTCAAATAAAAAAGTTTACCTATCAAGAACTTGAATTTGTTTGATCAGTTTGTATGACAGCTATATGCTGTAGTGGCACGATCTAAACAATTCGTTCCAAATTTGTACTGTTGACTTCGACATAGGTATACAATACAAAAAAGTTCACTTCGATCGATTCGGTTTCCTCAAATGATCAACTTATCGACAGATAACTGACTGTCTCAGTATGAAAGGAACGTGTTGGATCGTTGACAAATATTTGGGTATACGAAAGCTCTGTATGAAGTGTGAGCCACACAAGCTCTTGAACCACTGTATCACAAATCATTGAAAACGATGGTAAAATTACAAGAATAAAAATGTTTCCTTATCTATCGTATTCTCTGGATCTGGCTATAATCGACTGTCTATAAATCTTAGAGAAATGTTAGCTGGAAGGAAATCGCCAAGCCTGAGACCTATTGGGAAGCTAAAAGAAACTGATCACAATACTTAGTGAATCGCCCTCGAAGCTAATTATATTTAATATAAAATGGTACGAACTTTTCAGCTTGCCTCTTATAGGGTATATGTTCCTTTTGGTTTTGTTATTAACAATTTTTACTGGTGTTCCCCAGTAGAAATACTCATTTATACTGATGAGTATTCTATAAATGTATGTACATATGTCTTAGCTTGTTTAGCATTTGCATTGAATACTTAATTTAAAAGTAACTTTTTCACGCTCAACAGCAGGGCTTGTGCAGCATTGAATGGCGTTTGCTTGATTGCAGCTGTCAGAGTTGCAAAACAAAATCTATTTACATTGATTATGATGATAACCTTAAGGGTGTCATGTCAAATTTGATTTCATAAGTTAGGGTAATCACTTACAAAATGGTAATGAAAGTTTTGAATAATTTGTATACTCTTGCAACATGTTGCTACGGTCTGAGTTGTTTGTATCACCTAAAACTATTCGAGATAGATATAGGTTTATGTATATAAAAATGATCAGGATGAAATCCGGATGTCTGTATGATTGTACGTCCGTACAAGCCACGCCCATAAAACGCCATTAATCAAAAACAAATAAAGTGCCATAACTAAGCTCCACAATAAGATTATTGTTTTATTAATCTCCTGGCCTTTAACGCTCCAACGAATAGTTCATAAACTTTAGACGCGTTTTCCTCAAAACTACTTTTTCAAAGTCCGTGTTCACTGTCATTTCAAAACTACTTGACCGATTCATTTTAAACTTTATAAACATTTTCGACATATAAAACACCGCCCCCCTATTTATATATATAATTTTTTTTTTTTTTACATTAAGGGTGTTTTTCACCCCAAAATGGCCAAAGTTTTAGTGGAAAATAACAGTTTACATTTTAAATAGCCGCCAAAAATTTTAAAATGAAACAAAAATTATCAGAGAACGTTGGGGGGGAAGATTTGATCATAATTTAACTAATTTTTCTTGGTTTTTTTTTCGGATAATTTCCAGCCGAGTTATGGTGAACACCGCAAATTGTTTTTTTCTCAAGACGTTCTGGGGGAAGCTCTGTTACCGGCTTATGCTTCAATATTTCTGCACGAAAAAATTACCCTATACTGTCGAAAGTATGCTCAATAATATACAAAAGATCCGAATAAAATTACTCAATCCATATTTAAGAAAAAAATTCGCAAAAAAATTCTTTTTTTACTTTAAAGCCACATATCTTTAATATAATGAATTCCGATCCTTTGATTGACGTTTTTATTATGAACTCAATACATTAAATTTAGCCTCTTCGACTGAGTTTATATCACATATATCTTATTTTATGATGATTTTCATATAATTTTCGCTGACGGAAAGTAAAATATAGTTATAAAACAAATTTAGTCTATGACCTATAATATACAATAAGTGAATAATGAATGTTATTTTTTCACATTTTTTAATATAAAGTTTTGGCAATACTTGAAGGTATTTTCCTTACTTTGGCCCTTTGCAGTTGCAAAAGTATAAAATGTTCGGAACACCCGAACTTAGCTCTTCCTTACTTGTTGAAAATGTAATTGCTTTTAAATGTTTGAAAAGTTAATGATGTTATTATATAACCGTCATTATATTGTGAGACAAATGTATTATTGTTGGTTTATACTCCCATTTTCTGTCATTTCTCACTAAACGTTTAAATAGTTCCAATATTTTTTACCAGCAGATTGTTCGTAAAAACTTGGGTAAAGTCCATTGTTTTTTTTTTAAACTTTAATAAAAACGAAAATAAAAATACGTAAAAAAATCAACATCCCGAAAGGTGGTACTTCCACTGTAAAATAATGAACCGAAATTTAACAAAACTATTTAAATAAACAATACTGTTTATTATTCATTAGCTTCCGTGTCTTGTAGACATCTGTTATATTTTATTCAAATTTATTGGATATTAAACCGTCAGTATGCTAGAGATGTACGCAAATCGTTATACAAACGAAGAAAGCAATGGTGGGATCAAACGATAGAAGCTTGCGAAAATTTTAATGATATCATGTTCATGTATTATATACAAATATATGTATGTATTCTTGAGCTGTAAGTGTAAGTACTTCAGTACTTTGCACTGCCCGTAAATGTCGAAAATCGACCACTCATAAAAGCACCTTAGTTTTGTCTTTTGACTGTTTAAACCTTCAAAAGCACAAAGCAACAGCTTGTACATTTCCTTTTTTTAAAAGTACAACTTATGGAAATATGTTCTCTTCAATATAAACATAAGCTGATTTAAATATACATATTCCAAAATAATTTCGGGAATTCCTCGGGATCGGTTTTTATATCCCCTGTCTATCCAGAATCCGCGCCATAACAAACTTACTTATTTGTTTGAATGTCTTTGATGTGGAAAGGCCCATTTACATACAACTTTCCTTGCTTCATGACAGTGACAGTTCATGGTAAAAAAACGAAGCGCAGAAAATAAATGGTTTGCCACAATGAATACTTTACTTTCAGTGTTTAACTCTAATAAAAATGGCGACCATTGTACTCATACAAAAGCGTACATCGAACTCTTCTGTCAAATCAAATGTCTGAGGTAAAGCAAAGCAAAAGTTCTACGTGAACCACGAATCAATTACCAAATTTTTATTCGATGTACGGCAGCTTATGCTGGAAGGTACATGTGTAAACAAATTATGAAGTGTTGAAAAACCGACTTACATAATTTGTGTGTGTTTCGATCAATGTCATTTACTGCCTAGCACATTTCCATATCTATAAATCGTAACAAAGGTTAAGTCTATGTAGACATTGAGATGTATTACTCATACATTCACGTATGTTCGGGTGTAATCGAACATTTTATATCTTGCAAGGTATATATTCGATTTTCGTATATAATGTAATTAAAAGAAGGAAGTAATGTATTTATTACTTACAATTACAGATTTCTTACATATTGATAGTTACGGTATAAGGGCAACCGGAAGTTCGAAATACCTATTCATATGGGGTATGGGGGACTAAGAAAAGTATTCACCCATTTTTGGCATAAGGACATGATGTCATCATAAAAATATTCTCCCCGAATTTCAATATTAGTAATCACAGGTACAGATCGATACAATATTCGGTAAAAAATCAGACATATGCACTGGTGTTCAGATATTTGGTGTCTGGGTCCTAGAAAATGTTATAGTCCGATTTCGACAAGTTTTTGGCATACGATTTACGATTTTAATACCTTAAGGGCACTACTTGTGAAAAGTTTTGTCTCGATATATTCATTGGTTTTTCATTTGTATATTGGAAGTGAAAAAATCAGATGGAATTTAAAGTTGTGTTATATAGTAGGCAAGGTCGTTGTCCAATTTTGCTCCTTTGTGTGTAAAGAAAATGGTAAGATAACTTTACATACCAAATTTGGCTGTAATCGGTCAAGCAGATCCTGAGATATAGGATTTTACCTAAAGGTAGCCGGAGGAGCCACGCCCATTGTCCAAATTTTACACATGCTCCTATGATGCTCTTCCCTACCATCTTAGTTGTGAAATTAAATGCTTGTGGCGCATTTATTCAGTGATTTATCGCACTCTTAGTAGTTTTGAACATAACCGTCATATGGGCGTGGTTATTATCTGATTTTACCCATATTCACAACGTATAAAGTAGTGCTAAAAAGCCTCGTCAGCAAGTTTGGTTACAAATTTTTTTGCATAAGATGACCCTTGTTACTGTAATCTCCTGTACCAAATGACAGTTATGTATCTTAATTTTGTGCTGGGCGTGTCAGCGGTCCGATTAAATAAAATGATTTTCTTGATTGATATTTATTATTGTTATGTATGTACATCAGTCCTAAAATGTGCATGATATTAAAGTACATATTTCACAAGCTATTGTACTAAAGATATATCCAACTTAGTGGAACCATTTCCTTCTAGTATGAAGTATACAGTGTAAGACTTCATTTTGCAAAATATTAAAATGACGATAACTCTAAAAAACAGACAATCAAAAGCAGTGCCGTATCTTCCTAAGTTTGGTTTCAAGTCTGCAGCTTAATCGGTATAAAAAGTGGACAAGGAGACTTGCACTCAGCATTTATTCAACCAATTTGAATTAAACAACCACGTCTACTTATGTATAATCCAATTTTAGGTTCCATTAGATTCTTTCACATTAAAAACAGGGTGGCTTACGAATTGTGCTGCAAAAACAAACCGTAATAACATTTTTT